TAGTTTTTATAAAAAAAAGTTTGAGATAATCCACATCTCCCCTATAGTAAATGTCTCCAGTTCATTCGTGACAAATTCGCATAATGCCTGTTATTAAAAGTAGATATAGTAGCTATCCTATTGCTCATTGGCATTAGTGAATCTAACTAATTATAAGCCTTCAGTAGCTAATAGCATACAATAAACCCTTTAAGTCAAATACATACTCATGCCAAGTAAGATGAAAATTCATAAAACACGCAACCTTGAACCAGTTGCCTCGGACAAAAACCGGGAAGTAATTATCCTAACCCAATACACAGCGACTCGAACAGCAGTTATAATATATAATTGAGTGTATGCGAGAGAGAGAGAGAGAATCTCTCTCATCTATGAGCAAAAAATAAAAAACAAATAATAATTCCAAGTGGAGCGTGCAAAGTCCATTTCGGAGCAACATTTGCTCAAGTCTTTGCCTTAATTAAAATGTGTCCGACAATTTCTCGACTTGGGTTACAAATTGGCCAAGCATAAGGTTTCAATGCACAATGACAAATCAAGTGAAAATCAGTAAGGAATGTTGCACTAACCAACAGCGACTGCATAATACTCGTTTAAGGTCGAAAAAAAAACAGTCTCAGAGGGAGTCTGTAAATATTTCACTGTTAAAGTTAAGAACTCTGAAACAGCGTTTCTTCGAAGTCTTCAATTTTACACGACAAAGCAATTGGGGGCCATTGCATAGAACCAATATACTCGGTTTGCCTCATTAATGAGTATTAAAATTGCAAGTCGAACTGTTTTGATGTGATGAAAAATTTAACTATTTAACTAAATAACTTTGAGTATAAAACTCAAATGATAAAAATAGATTTGCTTTACATAAATATACAAAAATAAATGTACTATTAATAAACAATACTAAAAACATAACCAATAAATCTAATACTAGGTAAACAAGAATTAAACATAAATATTTGATAAGATCTGTATGATAACCCACAACTACTTATATTTATACTCATGCTTATTGTCATACTTATACTTTATCTTCTAGTTCTATTTATACCTATGCTTATATTTTATACTACTTCAACTATGAGAAATGGGATATTATAAATATTTATATTGACCTAATACAAGAAGTATGCCCAATCAAAAGACTTTGTTCGTAGTATCACTAATTAAGTGCCAAGAGTCGGGTTACACTTTCTTATCGTTTGTGACTGTGATTCGACTTAACAGATTATTTTATACGCTGTCTATAAAGTTTATGATTCGGACAGAGATATAGATATATGTATGCACATACCTCATAGGACGAGCCGACTTGCAGTACCGTAAAAACTGGTATATATATGTAGGCGACAGCTACGCCTTGTAACAGAATGGCTATTGCTATAAACCAGTATTGCGTGCCATAATTATATATCTCCGACGTGGTGCCCAGTATTGTGACGCCCGATACATAGCTGCAGATAAGAGAGATAAATTATAGATAGTGTTATATACACACATATATCTATGCATATATCGCAGTTACCTGGCTATTAGACTCATGGCAACAGGAAAAACTTTCAATTGGCGCGATCCGAGCAAATATTCGCTCATCTTAGCCGAGCCAAAGTCCTGTTTACGAGGCTTGTCAACGCTGTCGGGCAAACTAGGCTCCACTTCCTCAATAGTTTTCTTAGATTTTCTAAAAGAAAATAGAGTCGGGTGGAGTCAACTTTATGATACTCGCTCAAAAAGAGAACTAAATGAATTTAAATTGAAAGTAGATGTTATAATTAAATTTGAGGTTTCCCTCTAATAGAGACAAAACCAATATACTCATTTCACTAAATGGGCAAGTATTACACTAAATAAATCTTACTTATAGCAGCCGAAATAAATGCCCGTTCCAGTGGACAGCACAATCATGCCCAGAAATACGATATAGTCTACTACGCCGAATCTGTAGTTATCCGTCTGTAATAAAATATTTATTATTATTTATTTATTTATTTTCTTTTTTGTTGTAGCGCATCCGTTAGATAATGTTGTGTTTTATCTCTAAATGTGACAGGCATTTGATATAAATCAACACATTTTTGCTAGACTAACAATGTTGCGAATTTTTTTGGGTATTTTGGTTAAAGCCTTCCGTAAATATTATACATAGATCCCAATAATTGTTTACGTGAATAAAGCTAACAAAAGACCTTTAAAAATTGAAGGTTAGTTAACAAATCAAATGCAATTTTATGAAATATATAGTTATTTTTAATTTTCAAGAAATTTTTAATATATTGAGTATTTAGTAGACCGATTTTTTTTTTTTTTTTTTTTTTAAATATAAGAAACTAATTTTAATTAAACATTTATTAGATTTTATTTTATCCAAAATTATGCCATTTTAGACAATTTGCACATTTCTTAAATATGTTTCTTTCGATTCGTTCTGGTCCCTAATTAATTTAATGCTATAAATTATTCATTGCAAAACTGTTTTCCGATTCTGTTTACTAATTAGTAATTGATTTGACATTAATACGAATACATTAGATTATAATTTGAAGGAATATACATAAAGCTAATAAGAAACAGCTCACATAATAAATCTGTTTTGCATTAACACAACTATACTAACGCTAAAGAAGGCAAAGCTCGCTAATACGCCGGCTAAACTGCTAAGACTTATCTTGCATATTTTTTTTTTTAAATAAATACAAAAGCCTTTTAACGCCTTCTCAATGGGCCAGTATGACAAGCGGTCTCTACGGGGGGGACTTTAAACTTTTACGCAACGAACGTCAAAAAAACTTTATCACAATTTTGAACTTTGAAACGGACGCGGTTCAGACTGATATATATGTATGTGTATGTGCATATAGATATAAATATGTAAATATACATACATATATATTTCACAAAAATTGGGGAATGACCTTTAAGCTAACGCGCCAACCGGTCTTGAGTCTTTCTTTCACTTACCGTTTCCATGTTGATATTCCCTTTATTCTTTACCGGTTGAAAATCGAAAGCAAAACAAATGAACACAAAAAAAAAATAACAACAACAACAAGAGTCCACACAAAATGCCGCTARCAACAACAACAACTACGAAAACGGTGCGTCGCTGACGAAGAAACAAAACACAGCGTAGGGGAACAGAGAGGGAGATTGAGAGTGAGATAGCGACTGTGAGAATGCAATATAGAAAAGTTCAACACAGTGCAATGAATTGGGTTTTATTTTGCATGCATGTAATATTCCATATAATTTGGCACTTCATAGATTTCAAATCCAAGCGATATCAGTTTTTGTGCTTTATCGAAAACGAAACGACAAATAGAAAGTTGCGTTCTGTGCAGCTGTTTGGGCAATTCTTTCAAAATCTAAAAATTGAGACACGACACGCGTCACCCGCACCGATGCCGATACCAAATTCGATTCCACGAGCCGAGCTGAGTGCGCCAAAAAAAATAAAACGAAGCAACATTAACCAAAAACAACCGTTAACAGCGTACGCACTTCGCCCAGTCCCGAATTGCACTGAGACTCACTGCCGAGCGTTTGTGTTTGGTTTGAGGGCGCAGAGCGCACAAAAGCTCACTCTCTCCCTGCCCACTTGAGAGTGAATGGTATGTGTATGTATGTGTGCGTGCGTGTGAGCGTTGGCTAAGCACATCAGTGTTACAAGTTGACATAAAAGCTTTGCCACCAAGTGAGCGTGTAAGAGTGAGAGTGAGCGAGCGAGCAAGTGGATGTGCGATGGATCGTCATTGAAGAACAAATGCACTTTGATAACGGTGCATTCTGAAAGAGATGGGAGAACGGACTTTAACATGTCATACAATGTATGTGGATAAGAGTTCTTCGCGTGTAAGAAAAGTGAATTTGTTTGCCGACAGAAGTGCAATAAGCTGATAGCATTGTAGTTAACTATCGGAACTTATTACTATTAGATATTAGAAGTGAAGGAGAACTGTGATGTGGATTTGCATTTTGATTGGAAATTTTTTTAAATTATATGAAAATAAAGAGCAACTCAAATGTATTGTAAAATTGGTAAATTTTAAATATTCAATTCACTACAATATATATCCTTCAAGAATTTCTAATATATATTAATTCACAGTTCTCCGATGGATATGGATGGATATTTTTCTATGCATATAGAGATACCGTTATTGCAGCTATGCATTTCAATAGAGAGATATGTACGGATGAGCTATTGATGGAATTTTCGCACCTTTTTGTCACCTGTGGTCGCTGTGAGTATTACCCATTTGGTTGGTAGTGTTCCGATGCCACCCGGCAGAGCCATTCCACAGCGAAACGAGTGCAAAACGCAACTGGCCGCAATGCTAGACATTTGACAGTTGTAGCCCGTCCGCAATCGCAGTCGCAGTGGCATTCGCATTCACGTTTCCATTTCCATTTCCATTTGACCAACAGTCGAATGAGTAATTAGATTAAGCATACGACGCTTTGGCCGTGCAGCTTCGAGTCAAGCCATAGGCAGTTGGTAATGGAACGCGCAGCTGTCAATTGAATTCACTCACAGTTATTTTCTCTATTTCGTATTGGGTTTTTTACTGCCAGATTCCATCAGTTGCATAAGCAACTAGCCAATCGAAGTCATGAGCAAGAGCAACAGCAAACTCACATTCAAGCGACACTCCAAGAGCAATCTCCTCGACTATGAGCGATTGCAGCTGTCAGCTGCAGCTCCAAATACCACAGCAGCAGCAGCAGCAGCAGCAGCTCCCACTTTTGCTCAAGTGGACAAAATGCAGCTAAAGCTGAGTACGAGCAAAATAAAGCTGCAAGGAGCTGGCGCACAGGAGAAGCAGTCCGAGCAGGTGCAACAGGCGCAGCAGGTGGAGCAGCAGCTGATGGTGCTGGAGCTGGACGCACTGCGTCGCAAGTCGGCGCCACAGCTGCTAAGCTTCAGCATAGCACCTGCTCAGCTGAGCGCAGCTGCTACTAGCCAGGCAGTGCCACGCCTGCCCGCCTACGATTCGCGCAAGTGCATCCGACGCTCGCGCACGGAGCTGCTGGTCACCGATAGCAACAGTGATCCGAGCACCAGCAGCCTAACGAGTTCCACTTCACCTGAATCCCTGCTGGACAACGTCTTGAGTGAGGCGTCGGCGGCATCTGTGCCAAGCACCAGCAGCGCAAGTGATATAACTGTGGCGCCACCCCCACCTCCACCGCCACCTCCTCCCTTACCACCGCCTCCTTCTAAGCTCCGCTCTTCTATAATTCCGCCCCAGCCCAGGCGCCTGCTTAACCTCAAATCCTCGCCAGAGCTGCGCGTCTCCCCACCCACACCCGATCTGGAGGTCAGCAACCTGCTGCTTCCATCAGCTGCTGCCAGTGATTACTATGAGACCGCCTCGCAAATCTCGCGCAGCTATACGCCCTCTCCAGCTGGCACGCCCCAGATCTCACCCTCCTCCAGCTTGAATCTGCCAGGTCAAGCAACGAGCTACGTGAATATCATTTATCCCGAGGATCTGAAATGTGCCATCTGCATGGATGTCTTCACGGATCCGCGCACCCTGCACTGCCTGCATTCCTTCTGCCTACAGTGTTTGGTCAATGCGAATCTCCGAGAGGAGGCACTCTGGGAAGAGCACTCCAGCTACAGCCTACTCCCCTCCACGCCCGACACGGCCAACGAACTGGCCACCATCTCGCCAGCGAGGCAGCGGGGCAGCAAGAAGTCCTTGGATCGATTGGCACTGAGGGTAGCTAGAATTGGATTAGAATGCTCTCCACAGACTTCAGTTAACGATTGTTTCTCTTCCAGGGCAAACGCTCGACCTCCGCCTGCTCCTCCAGCATGCGCTTGAACAACAGCTTCGCCAACGATCCAGGAGCTGTGCGTAGCATACGCTGCCACAGCTGTCAGTTCGTCACGGAGCTGCCAGCTCTGGGTGGAGTGCGTCAGCTGCCACAGAACTTTCTGCTAGTGCGACGCATTGAGGCACTGCGTCTGCAGGCGGGCGAGGATGTCATCTCGAAAGTCTGGTGTTCTCTATGCAGTGAGGAAATTAATGTAAGAATGGAAGACTCGTAGAGAGAGAGAGAGACAGAGAGAGACAGAAAAACAGAGAAAGAGAGGTAGATAAAAGAAGACAGAGAAAGAAAGAGAAACAGAGATAGAAAGTGAAATAAATGAGAGTCTATCTGGCCCTACCTCTATTTCTCTCCCTCTCCCTCTGACCTTTCCTCAGGTAGTGCACATAACAGCATCATTGTCTAATAGCGGGCAGGAGCCCATCGTCCATCGTATGGATGGACTTTCTTTAGCACACAGCTCTTCTCTACTCCATCGATATGCCTAACCGGCATAGTACACCAGTTGGACAGATTGTAATCCCAATATATTGTCCCCTTTCGTCTACCCCTTTACAGGCCACATACCACTGCATCAGCTGCACTCTCAATCTCTGCTCGCTATGCAAGGAAGCCCACGAGCGACAGCGCAGCACCTCGAATCATCACATGCGCAACATACTCGAGCTGCGACGGGCACGCAAGCAGAAGCAGCAACAATTTGGATTGGGGGATAGCCGCCAGGTGCTGCTCAAGTGTGGACTGCATGGCTTCGAGCTGAAGTCCTTCTGCATATCCTGCCAGCAGGTGAGTCCCTGTAGTCAATGACAATCGAGGGAACTTTGTAAGATCAACGTGTTTTCTTTCAGCTCGCTTGTCCGGATTGCTTGGTGCTTCAGCATCGCAACCATCGCCACGAGACGGTGGCCAAGGCCATGAGTCAACTGCAGATGGCCAAGAAGCTGAGTGATGCCACGGAACAGACGCGTCCGCTTTGCCAATATGCGGAGCACTCGATCGAACGGCTGCGCGAGATAACGCGCAGCATCAATGCGAGATGCGATGACATTCAGGCCCAGGTGGAGAGCTACATGAATCGCTACTTTGAGGCACTGCAGGCACATCGCAACACGCTGCTGCAGCAGGTCAACCGAGCCAGGGAGTCCAAGGTGGAGCTCATCATCAACCAGCAGCTGGAATTGGGTGAGAAGCCAACTGGGTTAAAGTAGGGGCAAATACAATGGAAGGATCCTGAGTAGAGAGTATACTAATTGGTTTCCTATGGTGGACTTGCTGTCTTACAAGAACACCACAGGAAATTGCTACGGATAGTTATAGTATATGAAATCTGAAATTCCTTTAACATCTGTACTTAATCGCATACTGATCTTCTAGAGAAACGCACGCAACAGGCCATGGAAGCGATACGCTTTGGCCAGGAACTCTCGGAAATTGGGGCCGATGTTGAGATACTAAGTTTTGCACGCATTCTATTGAAACGCTTCGAGTACTGTCAACAGTTCAAGCCGCCCGTCGATCCCAAGGTGTGTATGCCATAGGATAGTTCCATAGGATAGATCTAGTAACTAAGCAAGCTCTTAAAGTAGACGAGGGTATCGTAGCTACCCAAAAATCTCGCGAGCAAAGCAAAACGTTTTGGCTTTGTAGCAACTGTACCGAGCTGTACCGAGCACATGCTGTGTACCTATCCAGCATGTGCTGGTAGTCCCGTCGGACTACCTCATAGCATTGCTAGTTATGTTCTTCAACTATCTGTATTTAATAGCAATCCCTTAATGATCTCCGATTCGCTGCACTTTCTATCCAAAATCCGCGCGCCGGGCAACTGTACCTACCAGTACATTTAACATGTGCTCGGTACAGTCCCGTCGGACTACCTCATAGCATTTCTAGTTATTTTCTTCAACTATCTGTATCTAATAGCCTATAATCCCTTACAGATCCCCGATTCGCTGCACTTTCTATACAAAATCCGCGCGCCGGGCAACTGTACCTACCCGTACATTTAACATGTGCTCGGTACAGTCCCGCCGGATCTTCTCATAGCATTTCTAGTTATGTTTTTCAACTATCTGTATCTAATAGCCTATAATCCCTTACAGATCTCCGATTCGCTGCACTTTCTATCCAAAATCCGTGCGCCGGGCACTAAGGAACAGCACGATATACCTCTGTACGGCATTATAACAATGCAAACGGTCGAGCCGTCGCTGTGCACCCTGCAATGGGAGGGGTTTTCACAGCTGCGTCTGCACCGGAAGGTGGATCTGCAATTGCTCACGCGCGACGCAGATGGCGTGGCGCTGTGTCATGGCGGATTGGAGATCAATTGCATGATTAAGTACAAGGATGCGAATGTGAAGTACCTGCCCGTCGAGGTGTCCGACCATCGCGATGGCACCTACAGCATCTCCTTCACGCCCGACACGCAGGGCACCCTACTCCTGATGGTCTCCATCAATGATCGGCCCATCAAGGGCAGTCCCTACACCTTTCACTCGCGCCAGGTGCGTCCACACACTGGAATCTACCACTGTTGCGCCTTCTGTTCCAGCAAGGGCAACAAGAGTGTCAAATGCTCCTGCGAAGGACGCATGCCCGGCTACAGCGGCTGCGGCCATGGCCATGCAGGGCATCCAGGACGCCGACATTGGTCGTGCTGTGGCAATGTCCTGGAGAACTCCGAGTGCAGCGTGGCCAACAAGCTGCTCAATTCCTAGAGTGCCCAGTTTCTGCAATCCTGTAAATCCTCGATTCTACCACAAAGAATAGATTCTTCATCGATTTTCCGTTTACTCAAAATTTTGTAGTTCATGTTTATTTGTTGGAATTTGATGATAAAAATACATAATTGTTAAGTATATTATGCTGAGAAAATATATTCGTGAATAATAAAATCCTGGTGTGAGACTTAATCTTCATTGTCCGAATACCAAGAGAGCCGCTCCTCATAAAAACGAATTACCATTTGGGGTATCTTGACGTTGGCCACCGTCGATGGCACCATCTCCGCCTGATCGACGCCCTTGAATTGGATAAGGAATGTTAGCCGACCATTATTATCGGAGGCGCCCAATATTTTTTCAGCTTCCAGGCCACGATCGAAGCCAGTGCCACCAGCGGGTACTAGATCACCACCATCCTCTGAATCGACGCGCTTTGATTTATTACTCGCGGGTGCAGCTAAAACATAGTTATCAATATTAGTCATTTTAAGTCTATACATATATTAGTAACCTTTGTATATACATATATTGTATAATCTGAACACATACACTTCTTACCTGGTTCCTCGGACTTTCGCTTGCCGCCGGCACCACCAGCGCTACCAGCAGCGCTGCTGCCACCAGTACTGCTGCTGTTGGTAGTTGTACTGGTGCGTCCCGTCTCCCTGACCTTGGCACTGCTGCCTGGTCGATCTTTTTTTGAACTGGTCGAATTTGTAGATGCTGCATTGGCCTGCCAAACACGCATCATATAATCAACTTGCGAAAACAGCACCAATTAATTTTCACACACTACTTACCTCATCTTTGCGACTCAGCTCATATTGTTGTATAAGATCCTGGCAATCCAGGTTGCCTTCCGGCTCCCAAGTGTTTTCAGTCTCTGGATAGCCCTTCCACTTAAGATAGTATTCCACCTATGAATGTGTTACAGCGAGCAAATTATTTCACAATTCTCTTTACCATGCAACGTTATACAAACCTTTCCCTTGCGCACACGACGATCTAAAATTTTTTCCACTGCGTATTCCTCCTCCTCCTCCTCCTCAGCGCCAGAAGATGGGTTGTTGCTCTCAGGATTATCAGCCTTCTTGCCCATTTTATATGTGTATGTATGTGATTTTTACTCTAAAGCTGTACCATAGAAAATATAGAAGCGCGCATGTACATATGCATATGTGTAGTTACATTTGTATGTATGTATATATGTAAGTACGGCCAAAAAATAACAATGTGCACAAATTTGCAGAAAATCGAAATAAAAGAACTCGCGCACGCTTACCAAGAAACTTTTAATTTAATTTAACTTTTACCAAATGGTTTTACACTTTTATCTTAATATTCTTACAACGACATACTAACTAACTCAAAATACGTAGAAAAATGCGCGTCTCGACAAATTATGCCGCCGCTCAGTTAGAAATAGAATGCGGTAGATTCGGCGTCTAGTCGCCTTTTGCGTGAATGTTCACATGTGAATGGCAAAATGTTATAGCGCACTGTGAATGGCAACTCTGTTGACGCAAATTATTTGCGCCAAATTCTTTTTATCATCGGCGAGAAATTGAAGTCACAAATTGAAATAAAAATGCCAAAAATCAAGAAGGCTGAAAGAAAATCCTCGTCCGACAGCGATAGCGGTCCGGACGATGTAAGTTTATACATGATTTCATCAAATGACACACTTATATTTCAAGTGCACCCGCAAACTAAAATTTGCAGCGTAATCCACCGCCGAGCAAAAAGTCAAAGGAGGGCGCCGATGTTAAATCAAATAAGAATGATAGCGGAGATGGCAGTGAAACCACCACATGGACTCTAGAGGGCATGCGCCAGGTGCGCATTAACGAGTTTCGCGGCCGTAAAATGGTTGACATACGCGAACATTATGAGAAGGACGGGAAAGTCTTGCCGGGCAAGAAAGGCATTTCGCTGACGCTTTCACAGTGGAAAAAATTACTAGCAGTAGCTGATGATGTTACTCGTGCTCTCGAGAAATGAGAGCAAATTAACAAAAACCACAAATAATTTTTAGTACTTAGCAGCTTTGTACATTTCAATAAACTACACACTAATAAACATGGATCTTAAACGTACATATGTAGCTGTAGAGAGCCTGGATTAGTTGTAGATCTTAAAAGTACACAACAAGTGAAACTATAATAAGTATTAATATAAGAAACGGCAACCAAGTCTTAATAAAGCCGCAGAAGTTCACATATTGTCCGCAAATGAACATCCAAAAGCATAAAATTATCATATTCCAGCTGGTGCGATTCAAGTAGCGCATATTGCACAGCGCTGTGGCCACATGCGAGTGGCAATTATCACAAAAGAGATTATGCATGCGTGTGCCATAGAGCACCGAGGCCTTGGTTACGCCCTCATCCCAGGCAAAGGAGCCGCCTTCGACATTTTTCGGATGCAAGCGCATATAGCGTGTGGGTCGGCCGAATGCCATATTATCCTCGGTGACTAGATACGGCCCAGCGAAGTCCCGAATAACTCCATTGCTCATACAAATTCCCATGTGTCCGATGAATGGTAATATCCAGGTAAGCACTGGTATCGGGGTCCAAACAATGCAATATGGATAACGATCTGATTTCCGATCGATGGGCGGCAATCGCTGCGGCAGAGGCTCATCGGCACCACCCATTGTTCGTTCAATGTCTTCCTGTGGCTGCGTCTCGCTGGACTGCGACATATTAAAAGAATGTACGAGAAAAAGCAATCAACCAGTACGGCTCATTAAATGATTGCGTTGATATCAATACCAATTTTCCGATTGTAATAAAGGGCTGATAATGTTGGAAAACTCACGTACACTCACGAGTTTATGCACATACACATACAAATATGTTTGTTTACAATGCTAACGTGTTATCAAAAACTTATCGATATGGCTTTAAGTAACTCTGAAACAGCTGACTGTGCTACAGGTCAAGTTGCCTATAACGAACCTAAACTACTCATCAGAATTGAGGTCAGATGTCGCAAGGTCGTTAAAACAGACAACTGATAGAAACTTGATAGGTATTAAGGCGTAGAAATGATCTAGAAAACAAATTAAGCTGCGACAGGCGTTCGATTTCAATACATTATAAAGGTTTCAAATAGTACCCAAAGCAGAACACAACATACATACATACATATTTGTCGCTGCAATTAGACCATTTGGAAAAAATAGAACAATGACGCAGGTGTTCATAAACGGAGCCACGGATGCAGCCAATGTGCGGGAGCATGACAGCCTAGGTGCCAAAGAGACTTGCTAAATGAATTGTTAAATACATAGATGTATAGTTAAAAATGTAATACTTTTCTGTTACAGATGCCTCCATACAGGAGCTGATTCGTGCTGCTGCAGAGGCACGCAATCACGCCTATTGCCCATACAGTAATTTTGCAGTTGGCGCTGCCATACGAACGAGCGACGGCTCCATTTACACTGGCTGCAATATCGAAAATGGCGCCTATGCCGCCAGCATATGTGCGGAAAGAACGGCGGCGGTGAAAGCCCTAAGGTAAGGGTGATGTTTATATAACCAGCTAGTGATGTCCCAATAAGAATACGCTCCTTTCAGCGAGGGCAAACGTCAGTTTGTGGCTTGCGCGGTTGTGGCACAGCAGGACAATGGCTTTACAACGCCCTGTGGGGTCTGTCGACAGTTTCTAGCCGAGTTCGCCAGCAACGGCCGGGATATAGCCCTGTACGCAGCGAAGCCCACCAACCTACCGCTCCGTGTACTCTGCACCAGCGTGCTGCAGCTGCTGCCAAACGGCTTCAGCTTTTCCAGTAGCAAGTGAAGCGCATACCTTCAACGATTTTATACCATGTGCAATATTTTATGTGAATAGCGTTACTCCTAGATGTTTATGCCCTATGAATTACTTTGTGTGAATACCCGTATTTGAAGCGAGTTGCAACTGTGAAGCAACCCTCTTCTGATGTCTTATGTACCATTACAATACACTCGCATTCACACATACAAACTTATAGGCACTCACCCACACACACACACACACACCAGTTTTGTTGTTTTCTCTCTATGTCAGTACGTATTTGTTATGGTCTATGCGCGCTCTCCGAACAGGTCGTTATCAACGGCTAGCAGCTGCTAACGGTTTGCACTTCGGCTAAATGCTTACATATGTACATATGTATATTTTTTGACTAGCTCAAAACAAGCGGACGAGAAATACTGTCCATTTGCCGTTGGACGTTCGTAAGCAACACACGGACCCGCACGCAGAAACCATATTTTGTTAGCTAAACAACTGAAATAATTTATAAATAACAACAACCGTCGCCCCCGCCAACGCCAACGAATCAAAACTCATTTCTATATAAATTATGTCGCATCTATTGAATAGCTTGGCACAGCCCGAGGTTAAGGAGACCATCTTACCCTACGGCAAGTTGGGTAAGTGGTGATCTATTTGCAGCTGTTGACGTATGCATAGACTGTGACGTATTGATAGCTTATGACGTATCGCCCTCTTTACGCAGATGCAACCGCTCAGGAGCTCTTACGTGCCGCCCACCAGGTGCGCCAGCGCGCCTATGCGCCGTATAGTGATTTCAAAGTGGGCGCCGCGTTTCGTGCCACAGAAGACAGCCAGCAAGTGTTTACCGGCTGCAATGTGGAGAATGCTGCATTTACGCCGACATCGTGCGCCGAGCGGACGGCCATTGCCAAGGCCATCAGCGAGGGTTATCGCCAGTTCTCATCCGGTGCGGTGGTCGCCTATAAGCCAAATGAGTTTGTCTCGCCCTGTGGCGTGTGTCGTCAATTTATCAGAGAATTTGCGGGCAACACTGATATGCCCATCTATATAGGCCAGGCCAATGACGCACAGTCGCCGCAGGAGCAACTGGAGGAGCCTTTCCACAATGACGATCTAATCCTTTGTACATCGATCTTCAACCTATTGCCTCACAGTTTCCACACCTACAAATAGAACTAGAAAAATTGCAAGATAGTACCAATTATGTTGTTCAATATTTTTTATTAAATGCAATAAAAGCTTATTTTATTTGATGGAAAATTAAGTTTTTATTTTAGTTTAGCGATTCAAATTTTCAGCGATCATATACATATATATATATATATTTTTTTTTTTTTTTTATTTACTTTATTATTTTTTTATAATAAGTAAATAAATGGAATTTACATTAGAATTTAAGTTAACACATTTTAATCTACATACTTTTTTATTGTCAGTTATATTTAGTTTTTCCTTGATTTGCTATGTTTTATGTTTTGTAAAATAAATTAATTCATACATTTGTTGTTCAATTTATTTTCGTATTTAATAGTTTGTATATTTTAAATATATGCAAATATACTAATTTTAAATGAAGTGACAACTTTTCTGATATGAGACTTGACTAATTTGTGCATTTTCTCTTCTTGTTTTTTTTTTTTTTTTTTTTAATATATATGAAAATTTATTTATTTTTGAAGAAATTTAATTCTTTATGAATTTCATATTCAACTCAATGAAGTAGTTCCAAGTTGAAATACCTAATTGAGGGAAATAGCTTTTTCAAAAATGTATTTAAGCCAATAAATATAAATCAAAATGTTCATGCGACGATTTTTTAGAAATTGCATCACGTATATACATCCCCTGTACTCTAATGCTTTGATTAATAAAATAAAAAGCGATCTTATCAGCTTCTGAGAATCTAATCGGTTTGATAGAGAAGTGCAATAGGACGATGAACATCTTGGAAACTTTCTAATCAATCAATAACAACCAAGTTAGGCTATAAAAAAAGAATTATTTATTAAATAACAAAGAAAGAAGTTTGGTGGAAATAACAAAATTCATTTGTTGAAATTTAAGTGGAGCGAGAGTTTCGTTCATGAAGAATCGAAGAATTTAAAGCAATTGAACTGAAATTCGAGCTGACAAACTTTAAAATAGTTTCAGATATAAGATGAATTTATTAAAAAAAAAAAAAGTGAGAAAATTTTATTTGAGAGTGTAAATGAAATAAAAAAATTCATTTACTTTTCGAGACAGCTTAAACTAGAATACGCCTAATCGTCATAGCTTATCCCCTTCAAAGTCGCGCGCTCAAACACACATACATGCATGCATAATATGTATGCACTTGCGTTACTTTGTCTCACTTACTGTTGCTGTTCCCCTATGCTTTCACCCTCATGCCTATTCTACATCTATGATCACATTTGTGTCTGCATGCAAAATTATTGAAAGTACTTGTACTCGCACTTTGACTCCTTCAAAAAGTTTTGGGCCTAGCTTCTACATATGTCAGTTATTTAAATTATTCATAATAAATAAAAAAAATTTAATAGAAAATAAAAATGATGCACTTGGGACCGAATAAAGCGAATCTTTGGAACCTTCTAATCAATCAATAATGATAAACAAGTTAGGTAATATAAAGAGAATTCATTGTCATTATCAGAATGAATTGTTCATTAAATATCGATGAAAAAACTTTGGTGGTAATAACACAATTTGTTGAAATTTAAGTTTAAGATATTAGAGAGAATTATCTAAAAATACAGGCATACATATATCATAATTTGAGTCCATATAGAAGATAGTAGGCCTTTGTAACATGAATGCTGTCAATTCAATAATTTGGTATAGAAATATTTATGTTTTTGGCCTAATGCTAGGAGGACTCTACAAATTAATATAAAAATATATAGTTTATAAGAAGAAAACAGAAGTAATATACTAATGTCGCAGAAACGTAAAGAACTGAAAAAGTGCATGAAACGTCTCGATGCGCTGCAGAAGGAATTAGCCAAGCAAAAGACATGCAGGAAGCTGAAGCTCTATATGGATCAGCTGAGGGAGCTGCAGCGTGAAGTGGATCGACGGCAGCCATGTCGGACGGGATTCCCAGTGAGCGAATCCGTTATGCTGCCACATCCAATCAAACTTTGCGAATATACCATATGCTTCAGTCAACTGGGTGAGCAAGTGTGCCAGCAGGAGTAGACAGCTTTGGCTATCAGTTTCCCTCCCTCTGCTTTCTATTTTAACTCCATCTCATGCAATACTCCTTACTCTCGGCATCACCTCTTTAATCCGTCCACTTTCTTCACAGATAACTGTGGCCGTGAGCTATTGGAGGATGCACTGAACGCACGGTGCTTCGCCTATGCTCCGTATAGCAATTTCAAGGTGGGCGCCGCATTTCGCTCGAAGGGCGGAAAGGTCTTCACTGGCTGCAATGTGGAGAATGCGGCGCTCACACCAGGTTGCTGTGCAGAACGAACGGCTATGTTGAAGGGCATCAGCGAGGGTTGTAGGGCCTTCAGTGCCGGCGCCGTGGTGGCCTATCATCCGGCCGGGTTCACAACTCCTTGCGGTGTCTGTCGTCAGTTTATGAACGAGTTTGCGAAGCTAGATGTACCCATTTATATAGCGCAGGCGCCAGAGTCGAGTGCCCCAGTGCCAGTGTTCGAGGACGATGCGGAGGTTCTGGTCACGTCAGTCTATCACTTGCTGCCCCATGCGTTTACGGTATAATAACTTTGTGAATGTTAGTTGTGAATATTAAATTAAAATATATATTTGGCGGTTATCAACTTAAACGTAAATGCAATCTTAAACGTATTTGCGAACCGGATCGCCGGAGCCGTAGATGCCATACTCGCTCGACTTGGCAAACGGAGCAAAGGGCTCGGAGACGAGCACGGGCTGCACATCCGTTGTATCATAGTCGATATATTCCTTGCTCAGCCTGGGGTTCAAATAGTTGGCACGAACCTCGGTGATCAGGCCGGTGTGTGGAACACATTTCAGCTGACTTGGGTACTCCAGGCGACGCTTTGGACAGGCGAGTGCATTCGTCTCATCGCACATAACCTCATCCGCCACGCGAGTGACATGCGTGGTGGTCTCCCCGCCACGCTCTGCCCAATTCCAAAAGGTGATAGTGTCTGGGGCGGCAATGCTGGCCTTGATATCTTGTGGCGTGTAATGGACGTAGGAGAGATTATATGTAGTCGCCGACGGATCCAAATATTTGGTATAGCCAATTTTGGAACGATCAATAAGTACTTTGGTGGTCTCCACCGGAGTGGGCATGCGAATTGGTATCTGGTCTGCCTCGAATGGGAGGTCAACGAAGGTAAAGGCCTCCTGGGAGACGCTAATAAGTGGCTTTGTCTTGCGCTTAATAAAACGTAAATTGCCCTCCTCGAAACGCTTCATGTATTGCGTTTTCATATTAAGCGAAGGATTCCGCAGGACATTCGGATCGGGATACTGCGTGGAGAATAGGTGTGAATACCAGAACTCAGTTCATCGAAAGCCGCAACTCACCTTCCACACATAGTTGCTTGATATTTCAGTCAGCTGCTTCTCATGCAACAAAGGATCCCTAACAAAAATGCCCTTGTTGGAGCATTCGCGGGGGGCGTTCAGCTTGCTGCCCAGGCGAGTGTCCGTAATGTGGCGATGTCCACGATATGTGGAGGTACGCCAATCTGGGGACTTATCGCTGGCCGGCAGCTTCGGATCAAAGCAACCAAACTCATCCATGATTTCAACAACAATTTTCAATTAAATTAAATATTTAACGATGATAACAATTTTCAGTTAGTTTTTGGCTGGGTTGTTAGGCGGAAAATTTCGATGGGGGTCTTCCAGTACACATTGCCCTGGCAACGTTCACCAAACAGTATAGATATACAACAATAATAATATATAGGTGTGATGCTACAAATGCTTTGACAATATTTAAAAGGCCTATGATGTGTATAATTATATAATTATATATGTATATTCTGTATTCAATGTTTATACAATAGTAAATGTTCATAAAGGAATGCTTGTTATACAATATCTATATATACATATCTATAAAAGCGATCTGTTTCACAAACCAAAATTCATATTCGCTTATATATACATATACATAAATATACGAAAGCTAGATCTTAACTATATGCGATATATGTATATGTATCTGCATATGCACACATACATATAAATATATGTATTTATATTTGTAGTTAATAAGAGATAATAAAACTGTTTGCTTAGCAAAAACCAATTGATTTACTCCTTGGAGGGGGCCTTGGCTAATAATTTATGGTGTATGTGTGTGTGTGTGTAAGCAATGTGTGCAAATGATGAAAGACAGCTTCAGCTTTTCAGGCGATTTCCTTGAGGGCCAGCAGCGATTGGCGTAGATAATCATACTGGCTTTTAGCATGCTTGATCTCCAGATCGGATAGCTCAACGAGACTGCAGAAAAGTTGAACTTAGTGAGTTTGTATATCAAATAAATACATAAATACAATATAAATACCTCTTTTTAAATGCTGCCACGCGTCGATTGCGGAACCCAATCAGCTCTTCCTTGCCGCAGGCGGACATGGACTCAAACTTCTCACAAGCCTCGGCTTGAGCAGTTTCAGCCTGCATTAAACAAGGCAGGCATTAGCAGGAATTGTTTAAACAATAGAGTGTATACAAAGACATGCATTAAGTTTTACAGAGGAATTGCTATAAGGCATGCAGCAATGCAACTAAATGTAGAATGTAGAATTTTGAATTTGCAAGCTAGACTAGATGACCAATTGATGTGTTAAACGTTAAATGCCAAATACCTCTTGCACCTCCAAAGGCTGCAGCGGAAGACACAACAACAAGAAGAACACGAAAAGAGTGAGCCACAAAGTAGGAGAAGAAATGCGGGAAAGAGTTCAATGTGAAGTTTGTGAGTACGCAGAATATTTTACAATACATATGCCATTGCAGCGTCGACCACAATTGTTTCAAAATTGGTTTGTTAAGAGTTGGAGAAATAGACAGGCAATAGGACAAATTATGCTCCACCTGGCTGAGCTGCTATAGCCAGACAGACGAGAGTTGCTTAATTTAGTTAGGAAAGTCGGCAGCTAAATGCAAATAGCTAAAGAACTTAGGAATGCTATTTAAATTAAAGCTGGATTAATAGTTTCAAGGTATATGCTAAACTATAACTATGTATATCGAATTTAATTCTGACTTTAAGCCCTGCTTATAACAAGTTATTCGATATTACAGAAATTCAGTAAGGTGGGAACGTAGGACAGATGTCTTTGAAAGCAAAGCATATTTCGACTAAGAGTTTAAAAGCACTAAATGTGATGTCAATTGCCAGCTTTTCGATATTGAAGATATAGAAGTTAATTATTAATGCAAATTGTCTGCTCAGCTGATAAGTCAAAAGAATTTGCTGCCAAGCACCGGTGAGCATATAGAGAAAAAAGATTTTAGAAAGGCGAAACAAAAGGAAGAGCTGCTCTCTAATAAATATTTACCGCATGCACATCCTTGTTCTTAGAGCGCGCCTTCTCCAAGTTGCGATTGGCTGTCTCATAGGCAGCCAAGCAGCGTAGGCGACGTATCAACAAAGCCTTTGCTGCATTGCTGTCGCGCTGATAATAGCGCAAAGTGTCGCCGAGCTTCAAGTCCTGATCGCTTGCCACGCGTGTCTCCAGATTCTAAACAGAGTATAGATAAGCACCAATTAGCTAAAGATGATATGAAATACTATTAAGTTCACCTTTATGCGCTCAAACACCTCCGCTGACTTGGCCACAAATGTTTCCATATTCCCCTTTTCTGTTGTAGAGAGCTCTGTGAGGGCATTCGATATCTTCTGATGTGAATAGCCCACATCTTTGTGGCGCTGCGTCATCTTCTCAGTGCGTGATGCTGCCTCGCGCAAATGGCCGTGGTATTCGGTAAGGAACTGCAGTTCGTTCTCGAAGAAATCGTTGACATCACGCACAGTAGCACTCAGCAATATCTCATCTGTCGTCTTGCCCAGAGATTTGACGAAGCCTCCAAAGATGGCCATCTTCTTGCGTGGCTTGGCGCACAGATCTTGATCGTATTCCAAAAATACCTTAAGATGCTGATCGACACGAAAGACGGGATGACTAGCCAAACGACGCAAAAAGACTTCGTGCATAGCAACCGTTTTCTTGAATGTGGCCAGATACTCCCTAAAACGATAAAGCACATAAGTTGTAAATCGATGTAATGCACTCTCAAAATGGTGAACTTACGCCTCCAGTTCGGATTTCATTTTCTTGAACTCTTCTTTGGTCATATTGCCTTCGCCTTCGCCTAGACGCTGTAGCTTCTCACGCGATGCATCGAAGTCGGGTCGTGGCGGACAGGGCGGTATCTATATAAAAAAAAGTCTTATAAAATTAGGAATTTACATTTAGTTTATAGACTACTCACAATGTAGCCCGCATAGTCTTCATTCTCCTCGATGCGATCGTGCAACCAAACGAACTCTTCATGCTGCCGCACCACATTATTATCCTTTTTAGTAAAGCCAGGCAGTGTGGTGCGTGTGTGCACGGTAAATTTGACCTTTTCCTTTTCACTGAGCGCATCAGAAATTTCAACATGCAGCGCGTTCTCTCCTAGTGCTGCAGGTGTTACAGGTGCCGACGATGAGCTGTCAGGTGAAGTAGCACTTCCGCTTCCATTTGTTGCTGTTGCTGGAGCCAGTGGATTGTTTGGCGACGCGATTTCCATTGTACCCCCATTATTGGTAGCGGGACTATTCAATATGTTTGATTCATCCGTGCCGTCCTATAAGCGAGTATAAAGCAACAACAAAAAAACTTATACACACTCAATTATACGCCCATTAAACTGATAAGCAGCTCTTTGTGTGTCCGTTTCCGCTGCGATTAACCGGTGCGCATTTAAACTGCGTTAATCATCAGCCTTTAACTTAAAAGTCATTCTCTTTTCTTTTTTTAACTTACCATCATTTTGTATAAATTTATTTTTTTATAACAATAATTTCAATTTAATAACTGGCCTGCGTTTGTGTACGTCGAACTGATTGGTGCTGCCAGACCAATGAGCTTTTCCATTGCAGTATTCAGCTAGAAGGTAGCGCATATGAGAGAACTTAAATGAGCAATTCAGCTGTACGTTTGTGACGTCATGGTGTAATGCTTTCTATGATGTATTTTTTTTTCGCTACCTTTCATATGTATAATAATTCTGTAGCGGGTGGCAACTGTTGCCCACGTAGATAAAGAAAAATTGTTTATACCGTGGACTAACTCGCCTTTTGGAAAAAAGAAACAAAATTTCGGTTGAACTCAGATAGTTAACATGTCCGCAAGTGATGGAGCTACGGGAAGCAAACAAGTGCGTCTGTCCAACAATCACAATAGCAAGGATTTGAATGGAACAGCAGCCCTCGCCGACGAAGGTGACGCAGCCAATGCTCGTGACAAAATAGCGTTGATAACCGGCATAACGGGACAGGTATGTGTGTGTGTAAATGAATGTGTTTACTGGTTACATACGTGGACAATAATACACGACGAACAGATTAAAAAAATAAGTGTGTATAACACATTTCCTCAATCATTTAATAAACACCCTAACGAAAAGTATTCTAGTTATATCAGAAGATGTGTTACAGCTATTGTTTATAAAAGCTGATCTTCCATTTTAGTTGCAAGTGTTAGTAGGGACAATGATATAGATCTAGATGGTTGAGTTAGTCTAATTTTGTAAATAGATGAAGTCAAAAAATTCAAAAACAAAGAATCTAAACGAAATGGCCGAAAGATCTTAAAGATACATCCCGTGGCAACGCTCTTTATGTTTATAGAGATCTTCGTCAACTCGTTTTTAATTTAAACAAATATAACGTATTAGCCACTAGCTAGAAAGTTAGCAAGGGTATTCTACATGGGACTTTCAGAAAACAACACTCTGTTACAACTTTAGCGTCTATTATTTACAGGATGGTTCCTATCTGGCCGAGTTTCTGTTGAAGAAGAACTATGAAGTGCACGGCATCATACGACGTGCCAGCACGTTTAATACAACACGCATTGAGCATTTATATGCGGATCCGAAGGCACACAAAGGCGGACGCATGAAACTGCATTATGGCGATATGACGGACAGCAGCAGCCTGGTGAAGATCATTAATATGGTGAAGCCAACGGAGATTTATAATCTGGCTGCACAGTCGCATGTGAAAGTCTCTTTCGATTTGAGCGAATATACGGCAGAGGTGGATGCAGTTGGCACACTGCGCATACTGGATGCAATACGGACATGTGGAATGGAGAAAACGGTTCGATTCTACCAAGCGTCCACGTCAGAGCTGTACGGCAAGGTTGTGGAGACGCCACAGAATGAACAGACACCCTTCTACCCACGTTCGCCCTATGGTTGGGATAGAACATAATATTTTCAGAGAACAATTTGCTAATCTTCTTCCCTTTGCAGCATGTGCCAAGATGTACGGCTTTTGGATAGTGATCAATTACAGGGAAGCATACGATATGTTTGCCTGCAATGGCATACTGTTCAATCACGAGAGTCCGCGACGTGGCGAAAACTTTGTGACACGTAAAATTACCCGATCGGTAGCGAAGATTTTGTTAAATCAAATGGAATACTTTGAGCTGGGCAACTTGGACTCAAAACGCGATTGGGGACATGCCAGCGACTATGTGGAGGCCATGTGGATGATGCTGCAGCGTGAGACGCCTGCAGATTATGTGATTGCAACTGGTGAAACGCACAGCGTGCGGGAATTTGTGGAGGCAGCATTTAAGCACATCGGACGTGAAATTACGTGGAGAGGCAAGGGCGTGGACGAGGTAGGCGTGGAACGCAACACGGATATTGTGCGCGTCCGCATCAACCCAAAGTACTTCCGACCCACTGAAGTGGATTTGCTGCAAGGCGATGCGTCGAAGGCTAAACGTGAGCTCAACTGGACGCCCAAAGTTAGTTTCTTGGAGCTGGTCACCGATATGATGAACGCAGACATCGAACTGATGAAAAAGAATCCCATTGCATAGATTATGGATCGCAACAGGGCATAAACTGGCACAAAGTTTCACTTATACATACACATTATATATATAGATATTGATATATAGGCTTAAGAATGTAAAGTGTTTTATGTTTCCTCGACGGGATTTGCAATCATTCCTCTTTTTACTACTTTGTCGTGAATGTCTCTCTATTTCTGTCTATATGCCGTTTCCTTAAATGTGCGTAAGTATTATACACTTGCAATAAATATGTTTAAACACCAAGGTTGATTCAGGTATTAATTTTGACGGACTGGATAAATCCAGTACAGTGTTTTAATATATTTAATTTCAACATATAACCAGTAGTAGCTGACTGAATGCAAAGTCCTTTACGTTTCCTTCTTGCCAAACGGATTTATTTTCGACAACCAGCTTGAAGATGGGGTCGACGATTCACTGTAATAGAAATACGTATTTAGCTCTTTGCTGGAGCATGGTCGGAATGGATACTTACAGCTTTGTCAACGCATCAATATCCGCATCGCTGTGATCGCCATGGGAAACAGAATCTCTTGGATCCTTTTTACCAGCTTCCGCAATTCCCGCTTCGCGCAAGCGCTCAATCAACTTGCTACGAAACTCAACTTTATGCGGAATCACCTTTTCGGCTGCGCGTAACTGATCTTGCAGCTTACGTATAGCTTCGAGGTAGGTGTGGCCATACCAATCGATCTCCTCGGACGTATATGATGCCAGATACGGACTGTACTCCTTGAGCACCTCACTTTGATGTTTGGGTTCAGCGGATAGGGCAGGGCAGCCCATTTGCAGCGACTTCAATATTTTGCGTTTCAGCTTTAATGCTAAAGCTGAACGCAAATCGCATGCCAAATTCTTGAGCAGATAGTGATCAAAGCCGTGGCACTCGTGGATCTGTTCCAACGTACGCTCCGTAACAACTACCGACATATACTCATTGAGCACCTGACTGTGCACCACGGAGCGTCGCAACGTTGGCACCCAAAAATGCGGCACACGTCGCTTTGTGGACTGGCGCTTTTGGAAGCCTTTGATCACCGCCTCCCCGCCCCATATACCCTGGTGTGATTCCGGTGTATCGATGAGTGGGAATGGTATGCTTTGAACGGGTTTGATTGCGTTCGTCACTTCGTCCCGCTCCCACTCACTCTCCTTGGGTATATAATGCACCGCCGCTGGCTTTGTTAGCTTCCATTCGCGCCAGAATTTCTTGTATGCTTCCGGCAGCTGGGCTCCGAGGCCCTTCTCGAAGCGACCTGGACGCTTAAATCCATTTAGAAGCTTAACGCCCTGATAAACAATATCAATTTATAATCAAAATGTATATTAATAAGAATGCGCTGCGATTGCGTCACAGAAACGCGGAAGCTTTCAACTTCCACAGATACCAACCTGCGGGGTTGCGTGGGCCATTCTCTATGGTGCAATCGGTGTGTTGACAGATTACTTTTATTACAAAAAAATTTTGTTTGTTACTCTAAAGTTATAAATATATATTTTTTTCGTTTTTTGTTTCTGCCAAGCTTATCGTACGTTTTCGTCTGCCTCCCGTTTGACACACAAACAGCTGATGCGTGCCAACGTTTAACTGTGAATGACAATATTGCAATAATATTTTGAAACAGTCTGGCAGCCCAAGTGCTCCATCGAATCCACAAAATATATTCTAGTAAACATACAACGACATGTCCAAACCAGATTCAGGTAGTAAATAAATCAACAAAAGCAATGCATAGTTTTTTAAATCATTTTGTTTCCTCAAAACATAGGTGAAGCATCCAAGCCCGACAATGCGCCACCCTACAGTTTTAACTATGATTACGCTACCTCCATGGTTCGTGTTAGTTAGATCGTACTGCGATTGTGTTTTAATGTTTCCATTCCCAGCGAGCTCCACCGCCCACATACGAGCAGAGTCAGCAACAAGGGGCTGACAGTGCACCAGCTGCAATGCCTATGCATATACCTAGCAATCAGTATTATGGAATGATGCACCACCAACAATTGCAACAGGGTCAGCAGGAGTACGGCTTAGCTGGACCCAGCACCTCTGCCGAAGCTACTGCAGCGCATGTATTAAATATTGATCCACGAGCCTCCTTGCGAACCACAGCTTCGGGTGCTGTTGTTGTGCCGCCACCTCCGCCTGGTTGCCTGCCCACACCTGCACAACTGGCTGCCATGCAGGGCAAGCCGGTTGTGGTGCAGCAGAAGAAACGTTCGTTCTTTTAAGGCCTTGATGAAGATCGGTTGCAATAACTCGAATGCCTCCTGCTGCTTATTATATACATATATATGCTTTTAATGTTTTACTTAATAAATGATAATTCGTCTTGTTCTCGCATATATTTGAAAGTTATCTATGCACATGTACATGGCGCGCATCGACGATGATGACGAAAGATTGTGGAACTACTAACAACTACAGACCGGGCCGGAACTACTCGAAAATATTCTCAAAGTATGTACTATCAAATGTCTGGACACGCACGAAACCATCTTCGCCACCGGAGGCGTAACTCTTGCCATCCGGATGGAAGGCCAAACTGTTGATGGGACCGAAATGTCCCTTAAGACGAGCAAACTCCTCCTCGTAGATCAAATGGAAGAAACGCGAGTCGAATTTGCCCGCCTTCGTTGACGTTGTGGTCACCTCCATCGCATCCTGGCCACCTCCAAGCACAACATGATCCAGTATCGGACTGATTGCAGCTGAGTTCACTGGCCTCTCTGTTTTGTAGGTCTTCAGGCACATCAGAGACTCGGAATCGAACAGCTTGGCTGTGGTATCCTTCGAAGCGGTCACAAACATGGTGCCATCTTTGCTTAACTGCATGTCATTGATTCCTGCCGTGTGATCGGAGCCGGAGTCAACAACCTTTTGTCCCTTGCGGATATCCCAAATGGCAATGTTACCATTGTCATGACCTAAAAGTGAAGTTCATTATTTCTGAACGCCGATTGAGTTAGCCTTTGAACTTGCCTGTTATAATAGTCTCATCGAGAGGTCCCCATAGCATGGAGGTGATCTTTGACTCCACCATTGGGATACGAAGCGTGGGCGCCTGCTCAGATAGAGATGAATCTGCATTACGTACATCGATGATGAAGAGCTCGCAGTTCTGACCCATCGCCTTGTCCGTGGAGTACGCTGCCTGGTTGCCGGAGAAACTGAAATTGCATGTACGCACCGAAGATTTAGCCGCTATGGAAGCAATCACAGTGCCATATTCGACATCCCAGATTTTGGTGGTCATATCGCCGGCACCGGTGATTAGCTTCCTAGTTTCCCAGTCCACGTCCAGGCACCATACGGCTCCCTGATGGCCATCGTAGGTGCCGAGACGTTCGCCGTTCAACGAATACCAGACATTTGGTTTCTGATCCTTGGAGCATGAAAAGAGCAGATCGCCTTCACGATTGTATTTGATTTGCGTTATGGAACGCTCGTGGCCTTGCAACATCAACGGACGCTGCAAACCAAAAAACAATATTATTTCAATTTATTGCAAAAACTAAGCACGAAGAGCCGCCTTTTAAGGTTATGTTGTATACAGAATATAGGAAATTCTTTTGCAACCATACCCTTCAATGGCGCTTTTAACAACACTTTATTAAAGAAAGTTCTTAGGCTAATTTGCATTATACACACACCATTTTGGTATTTTATATATATTTATTGCGAGAAAACAAAACAATTTCTGCAACATCCACGCAGCACAAACGTCAAAAAGAGCGAGTATACAAATTTGACGGGGTTGTTATGCCGAGTGCTGCCAACTTGATACGAAATAAAATTTTAAATATAACAAAATCTGTGGCAACGCCAGACAGCTTAACTGAACCAGCCCTTTTTGTTCATTGAATTCCATTTGGCTATGTTGACCAGAATCGATGCCACACACTGATCCTTGTCTCGGTTCTGCCCGTAATAATCAACAAATTCACCATCTGGATTCACCAGGTACATGATGATGGTATGATCGACAATGTAATCGTTGTCCTCGTCGCGGGGTCCAGCGCTAAAATAAACTCGGAAAGCTTTGCAGACATTTCGTATTTGATCCACAGTGCCCGTTAGGCCAAGCAACTTGGGCGAGAACTCCTTTACGTATTTGCCTACCACCTCCTTCGAATCACGTTCTGGATCTACAGTTATGAATATGGGCTGCACTGGCGGTGCTTGCGGTGACTTTTCTACAAATAAAATAATGACTTACATTATTTGATTCACATTGAAATATCATGAAGACGTACCAACTTCATCGACCACTAGTGCCATTTTGTCCAGCTCATCTGGGCAAATGTCGGGGCAATGGGTGAATCCAAAATAGATAAGCAGCCACTTGCCCAGAAAGTCCTCCGACTTGCGTACCACGCCTTCTGAATCAATCAACTCCCAGCGACCGCCAATGGCGGCCTTGCCCAGTTGTCTTTTGCGCTCCCTTAACCGTGCCTCATCCTTTTCATGCTTTACATATAACATAAAGGCAAGACCTCCTGCGCCCAAAACACCAATCACTGACAGACTCTTCCATGATATCGGTCCCTTGCCCTTTGTGGGATCACTTGCTTTTTGGGCCATATAACGCTGTCCCCATGACTGTGACTGTATCTGCAGCTGCGTGCGAGAACTCGATTGCGTCCAACGTCTGCAGCCACCAATTAAACGTTGCAATGTACGCGACATTTTTTATTTTGCTTTTACCAAAGATTTACGTAAAAGCTGCTGCTGGAGAACCTACTTGCCGGTTAAATCGCTAATACTTGACATTCACAAAGCTCCGCACGGTGCTGCCAACTCGGCCCAATCTTGCGCAATTACACAATTTACAGATCTGTTGCGATAGTGCAATTGATGTAAATCTATGTGATTATTAATAAATTGAATATTTATCATGCATCGAATGTTGTTGGTAATGAAATATTAAATAATTATTAAAATTGGCATTGTATTGTTATACATAATTTACAATCGCAGCGACTCTGTCACGAGTAGCCAAGGATTGCGCATCTCTGATTGTTTTGACAACAACCACGTGCGGCAACGAGTCGACGGTTGTGCTTGCATCTTTACTTTAGATATTTCTGAATTGTAAAAGTTTTAAAATGCCTGACCATAAAAAGAAACCGTTGCTCTACATGGAGGAGTACAGAACAAAGCAGGATCCTCAGGATTATGGGCTGGCAGATGAGGTCTTCAATATGGACGTTTTCAAAAGCAAATTGCAAGTGGTAATCGTACGGTAAGTCTCCTGCAATACAGTTACACGAAGTACCGTTCCACTATATTTATACTCCAATCGCAGAAATGATGAAGAGCATGGCTTGGAATTTGATTTGATTGGCGTTTATCCAGCAATCGCAAACGCCTTTCGTCGCCTGATGCTCAGCGAAGTGCCCAGCATGGCCATTGAAAAGGTTTACATATATAACAACACCTCGATCATCCAAGACGAAGTGCTGGCCCATCGTATGGGTTTGCTGCCGCTTCGAGCAGATCCCCGTCTGTTCGCTTATCGGACTGACGAGAGCACGGATCAGGGCACCGAACAGGATACGCTGGAATATGAGCTGAAGGTTAAATGCACGCGGCGTAAGGATGCAAGCAAGGATCAATCTAACTTTGATGATATCTACAAGAATCATAAGGTCTACTCTGGGCACTTGAAGTGGCTGCCCAAGGGCAAACAAGCGCAGATTTATAGCGAAAACAGCGTTGGCTGCATCCATGAGGATATTTTGATTGCGCAGTTGCGTCCAGGACACGAGTTGGATCTACGTCTGATTGCTGTCAAGGGCATTGGGAAGGATCACGCCAAGTTCTCCCCAGTGGCCACCGCCTACTATCGTCTACTGCCACAGATAAATCTCACTAGAGAAGTGCGGGGCAAGGATGCCTATCTGCTGCAGAGCTGTTTCTCACCCGGCGTCATCGGCATCGATGAGAATGAGAGCGCCTATGTGAAGGATGCACGTTACGACAGCTGCAGTCGTAATGTGTTTCGGTATCCCCATCTGGCCGATGCTGTCACTATGGGTCGTGTACGTGATCATTACATCTTCAGTGTCGAATCTGTGGGAGCCCTGAAGCCGGAGGTAATATTCCTGGAGGCCGTTCGAGTGTTGAAGAAAAAGTGTCGCAGTTTTATCGATGAAATCGAGGCGGAATAAACAAAACATTTATTTCGGTGTATAATTTAGTTATGCTTGTCAATATATATATGTAAGTAATTATATATAGCATGATAATAAGTTTAAGTTTGGTACATTTAAAAGTTGCGTTTTGATTTGCGCTTCAAGATCTTAAGTCTGAATTCGGTAAGCACCACCTGCAATCGCTCCTGGCAGAGCAAAGCATCCTCCAACTGGAATGACAATTTAATAAATATTAGTCAGATTGCAACCAGGTGAGGGTCATCTATCAGCTCACCTCCATGTGATTCAGTTGTAGGGAAACACTCTTGCCGAACAGATCGAATTCGCTGATAATATTATCGTCAGTCAGATTGTCTTCCTGCATTTCATCAATTTTGAATTCTTGGATAGTTTCAGGCTTAACATCTTGTTCCATTTCCGTGTCGCTAATTTCCTGTAGATACTGCTGCTCCATATCATCGTTGCCCAACAGATCTTCTAGTATCGAGTCATTGGAGCATGTGTCTGGCTCCAAAGGCACCTGCTCAATGCTCTCCGACACTTTATCCGTTTTGGAGCGTTTGATGATCTTTGGTTTTGGCTTGGTAGCGAAAATAAACTTTTGTGAAATTTGCTTTGGCTCCTCCTTTGTGCCGGGCTCCATTTTAATGGGAATGCTCTGCAAGAGCAGAAGAGGAATAAGGAGCACTAGTTGTTGGAAAGTGCTAATGGTAGTTCGCTTACCTTTGATCCGAGGTGATGGCTTTTGAGAGCCTTTTGATGCTTGGCCGTATTGTGATGCTGTTTAATGGATGCCAGACGCGCCAACACATTGGCGTCGCATATCTTGCAATGAGCCGAGTAGCCATCGTCGCCACGGCAGAGCCACTCGGAAAACGACGGAAATCGTTCCCAATCTTCGCGATATTTTTGATGGTACAGCCTGCGCACTTTGCTCATGGCTTTTGCCTCAGAAGGCGATTGTTGAATTCTTATTATTTTGGCAATTGTGCTGCAACTTTTGTCAGACGTGTTATTAGCGTTTATTTTGTTTTGAATAAAGAGCGCCAAATCCTTAAGTTGTGTATTTTATTTGGTAATTCTTCTAGTATTTACATAAAAAATAGACCAAAACATTAAATGGTTAGTGCGACCGCGTACCCACAATGCGTAAGTTGCCAAACAAAATTATTATTTTAATTACAATCAAATACCGAAAATACCATATTTGACATACAGTATGTATACACTGACATCTAACCAGTAACAGTTCCTAAAAATGTTAACTGGGAAAAATTATGTTAACTCAGTCACAATTGAACCTTGAAAAAGTATGCGCATCTTTTTATTATACACACAAATTGAGAAAAATGTATGTATACTGGAAACAAAAAGTAAAGTAAGAAAATGTAATGGTATTTTTAAATGTTAAGTGTAGCTAGCAGTAGCGACCTATGTTAAAATATAATATCACTAAGGATTTTGAGAACTGCTCGCTGTGGTCACACTGTCTGTACAGGGTGATGCATTTTAAAGGAAATCAAAACAACGAAAATGCCGGCGAAAAGGTAGGCTTAAATATGGGTTGCTTACCTATTTATTGAAATTATTCTTAATCCTACAGAGCTTGGCGGAAACTAGTGAAAAAACAGCAGAGACAACGGCGACGGCAGCGACAAGCGCGAGCGCGTGAGAAAGAGGAGGCATTGGAAGAGGAAGCATTGAAAGCAAAGCCCGAGTATGAGGCATGGTTAAAGCAACAAGCGGAGCTCGAAGAATTTCAGCGCCTGGCCAGTGAACGTTTAAGAGCAGAGGAAGAAGAAGCCTGGTTACGTCGGGAAGCATTGGATCAACGTCAATTCCAGATCGATAGAGCTAAGCGTGCACAGGAAGAGTCAAAACTAGAGAGCTTACGATTGCAGCAAGCAAACGAATTGGAGGAAGAACTGGAGAAGCAGCGAAAAAGGCGAGAAGAGAGTAAAAGACTGGCTGAACAAGCCGCAGCGGAGTTCGAGGCAATGCTGCAACGCATGCAGGAGTATATGGATGACAGTGAAGACCGCACGCCGCCAGCTGAGCTGCGTCGTGTAGTGGAAACAAATCCTGCAGAGAAATTGTGCGAGTTCTATACACGCACCAATTGCTGTCGATACGGCAACAGTTGCACCTTCAATCATCGTCGTCCCATGCTAGCAAAGATCTTATTAATACGCCACTTCTTCACACACCCACTGCTACAGGTGGGTGAGACGCACAAGGAATATGCGAGCACAGACGAGCACCTCGAGTTGACAGAGCAGGACTTACGCAGTGACTATGACGAATTCTTCAACGATGCGATTGGTGAGCTGCAAAAGTTTGGCAAAATCTTAAACTTTCGCGCAGTGCGCAACACATTGCCCCACCTGAGAGGTCACGTATTCGTGGAGTACGCGCAGGAGCGGTTCGTAATAATATTTATTTCTTCTATTACATTTATATTAATATATATGTATTACTTAGTTTTGCACTGCGCGCCTTCGTTAATCTGCAAGGACGTTACTATGCATCCAGACGCCTTCAAGTGGAGTTCTCAAATCTCAAAGGGTGGCGTGGTGCCGTTTGCGGTACGTGAAGCGCATGTCATGATCCGTATCCTTTGCTAAAACCAAAAATGAAAATGAAACTCTTTTACATATTGTAAATCAAGTCAAGTCAACTACATGAAAGTTGTCCAACTAATTCTGTCATTGAGGCAACTGAACGCCGAGGAGATGGGGTATAATAATCCCAGATGGCAATGTTGCCCTATTCGAGGGCCTTACTCTTCCGTTTAGAACCAAACTTTTTATATCATAAATTTTATAGTTACTTCATTTATAGCTTTCCATGTTTTTTACTCCACTTGTTGCTTGTCTTAAAGGTTTGTCCTTAACACGCAAATGTCCCAAAGGCTACAGCTGTGGCTATCTCCACCTATTTCGCAATCCAAACAATTTGTTTAACAGTAGCTTGGAGCTCTACGATACACCAAAGAGCACACGCTCCAGCAGTAAAACGCCAACAAACAGAACAAGCAGGTAAGTTAATAATATATTGAATATAATTGATAGTCAATTTTGCATTTGATTTTAGTTGGCATGACACTGGGCGGGAATCTCGCAACTGGCGCTGGTCGGAGAGTCCCGAGCTGGAGCTTAAACATGACAAATCTTCGAGCAAAACTGCCAAAAGGCAACAAAGCAATGAGCGAGATATTGAATGCAAATCTGATAGAAGCAGGAAACGCTATCACTCCAGTCAAGACTCTAGCCGCCATTCTAGTCAAGAATCTGAACCACATGGCAGTGGAGACTCTGTCCGAGATCGCAGTCGCGACTCTAGATTGCATCACAGTCGAGATGGGGCACAAGACTCTGGCCATCGCAGTCGCAGTCGAAATCGTTCCACATCGAGCCATGAACACGTTTCTAAGGCGGATTACAGTCGCTCCCGCACACCGCCACATCGACGTGTCAAATAAACCAAAGTATATGCGACGATATTTAAATAATTAATCAGTTTTTAATGAATTTTTATAACATTTTATTCAATCTCTTTGTTTTTTGCACGGCAATAGAATAGGTGAGTTTTGCTTTTCATTTTCTTTCTTCTATTTTAAATAAGAGATTTTAGGGCGTGATTATTCGTACTTAACAAATTTTTTTTATATAAATACAATTTGTAGGAAAATGTATAGTCGAGTAGGATTGGCAGTTTCGAAACGAGAGAAGTGGTGAATTTTAGGCATCTGTCTATATATGTGTGTAGGTGGTAAGATCGGGGGTATTTATAAATTCTAAAGTCTATTTGTATTTGCATTCGTCGTACACATATTTAAACAAGAATTATACAAAAAAAACTCATTTTAGGGAGTATTATAATAAGTAGCTTTAAAATTACACAAACAATACGAAGATAATGAACATCTTATAGACGGATGCCCGGATTTGTGGCCGCCACATAGCGCAGCAGCTCCTCGTTATCCTCGCAGATGACGGGCTTCTCATGGTAGCAGGCAACGTCGTGCCATGCGATGCCATCGTTGTAGACATTGTTCAGCACGGACAGGCACTGCTCCTTGGTCTGGTTGATGTCATATTCAGCATTGTCGGGCTGTGGGCGCTTCTTGTGGCCGGTCTGCGACCAGGGATTGTAGCCCCAGCCCTGTGGAATGCGGTTGGTGGCCTGGATCTTCTCGCGAGTTGCGGACCAGAACCATCCATAGATGTTCTTGGGCTCCAGATCTGGGCGGTTTTCGCAACCAGCGAAATCGCAAATGCGGCCAGCGGTCCAGATGTATGGGACATCGTTCTGTTGAATGACACGGAAGATCAGGTTGTTCTTCTCTTGGGTCTCCAGGGCGACCAGATCCATGCAGTATTCGCGGCACAGGTTACGGCCATCCAACCAGTCGACCTTCCTGTTGGCAAGCGCCGGCACGTGGGTGCTTAGGAACATGTTTTTGCCGCGGTACGAGAATTCCTTGGGGCCTGCAAAGAGAAAAACAATTAAAAGAAGTCTTCAATAGCTGGTAGTCGAAGGTAGTCAAAGGTGTGGCTAGTGAGGGCCTGACGATTGGGTGTCTACCTCGTGGATTGGCAAAATCATGCCACGGCTGCTTACACAACTTCCCCCTACTTTAAGTTGCGCAATCTTTGCCAACAATTTATGCAGCAAGCTGTTGCTGTTGCTGCTGCTGATGCTTCACCTCCTCCTCTTTCCCGTCTTCATCCGTCATCGTCGCCGCGTCGTCTGCCTGCCCGCTTTCCTTTGTCTGTGTGTCAAAAGGTTTTCCATTTTGCCAAACAAAAAATTGGTTAGGCCAACAATGGAATTCCCCCCTACGCTAACTCCAGCTCTGCATCGTCCACCTTCTCCCGCTTCAACGGCTGCTGCTCTCTGAAACTTGTTTCACATGGCTGACTCCCTGAGCTGCCACCGTTGCGGCTACTGCAGTGCATTTGATTAGCTGCTGCGTTGCTTTTGTTTTTRTTTTTGTTTTCTGTTTATTTTGGCTTTTATTTTTTTAACGCGACCGCCTGCGCCACGCCTCTTGTTGCCACCATTGAAGCTGCTATTGCTGCTGCTGGCGGCACGCGTCATTAGGCGCGCTTTAAGCGGCTTTAGAGCTGCCAGAGCAGCAGCAGCAGCAACGGCAACGTCAGCTGCCGTCACTTTTGCAATTGCCTTTTGCCTGTTTCGTCCGTCCGCCGTCAACTCAAATCAGCTTAACTCTAACATAATGACCTTATTTGCTATTGTTTGCACATTATTATGATCATTTCGGCCGATGCTGCCAGACTGCAGCAATTTCCCCACATTACAGGTCAAGGCAATAAAAAAGTCCCATTTGTGTTCGTCTTCATTCATATTTCCTGTATGCAGTTCATACAAAAATAGCCAATTGCATCATTGCCAAACAGCTTCCCAAAGTAGACAACTACTTATATCTGTGTAGACATCTACACAGAATCTCGATCTTAGAAAATCCGATTTGAAATGTAAATTAAAAAAGCAAGCACAAGCGCAAGCGCAAGCAGTTTGCATGCTTGAAAGTTGTTATTAACGAGCATCGACGCCGTTTGTATCAGGTAATTAAGTTTGAATAGTTAATTAGTTTAAGTTAACTTAAGTTGTGCTTGTATAACTGGAAATTTCTAAAGAGATGAAAGATCTAAGCCATAGCAACGGCACAAAACTGGCTATGCAACTTTACGGGCCGTCACACTGATGTTGTTGCCCAAAAAACAGAAAAAAAAAAAAAAAACAAAAAATAAGTAAAAAAAACTCAACAACAAAATTGTTAAGCCGCATTTTCAGTTTTAAACGGGATGCACACCAATGTATGCATTCAGCTGTATACGTGTGCCGCCTAATTAGTGCCAACTGCTAACTGTGTTCATTAGTGTACCGGATATGCAGCGATGACGCTATTGTTTGAATTTAACATCTAACATCTAGCTGTTGCATTTTCGCAATCTCTTCGCCGTCAATTTGCTTGAGTCCCACCGTTTGCCATGACTTGCAGTTTCCCGTGTGCGCTGGGCAGCACTGGCTAATGCAGCGAGGTGGCAACGCTCGCGGGTTCAACTAAAGTGAAGCAAGGAAAGTGCGTAGCTGACCAAATGCAGTGCCAAAACAAATGACGAACATGGATCACGTCAGCGACCTTCAGCTGCCTCGCACCGCCCCCGACCTAACACAATTTTATATATTGTAATTGCTGTGCCTGTAGCGCACACCTACACGTCGCATTGCCAAACAAATTCAAGTGCAAACATGGGCGCTATTTGATATTCTTCTAACGTTTCACACTTTTACTTTTTGCCACACCGCCAACCGGCAACCAGTTAAGGTTAAAATATGTGAAACGTATGTACATATGTATATACGGTTTATTTAAATCTATTTATACTTACGGCTAGCGCACTTGGCGGGCACTGGCAGGGAGAGGAAACGACCCGGCTTGGTGCCTGTGGTTGTGGTGGTTCTGCCCTTTTGCGCAGCGGCGCAGGCAGCCACAAGGCAGAAAGTCGCTAACGCCAGAGTGACTTTCATCTGCAAAGAAGAAAATACCAAAAAATGTGAGTTATGAAAAATGTTTGTTCACTTTTATTACGTATACCACAGTGCGTATACGGAATGCTGTTTAAAGTTTGTTTTGATTGCGTGCCGTCGCGCATGCGTATGTGTGTTTTGGCTTATCGAAGATGTAACTTGGTGCGCATGGTTTTTATGTCAAGGATGCATCGGTGCCAGCTAACCGGTTGCCCGAGGCGTTTCGGCCACTGACACACTGCCTCAGTGACGACGACAACGACACTTGAAGCTTTATTTTTATTGTAGCTTAGCATCGAGCAACGTGATCAGCAGCAACGGCAGCTTCAGCTTCAGCATCAGCAGCCACTTTGCCATCGTCACATTATTCATAAATAAAAATTCATTTAGCATCTGCTGCAAACATGTTGATTACACAAGCAACAAGCTAAGCCAACGTCCACTGAGGCTGACCTTAACTGGTTTTATTGACTTTTGTATTGGGTTTTTTTTAGTGCCTTTAATTTATTTGTGCTTTAGTATTTTTTGTGACGCTGGCTAGAACCTTCCACGTCTTTTGCATATAGATTGGGCAACGGTTCTCTTCCTTATGCATAACAAGCGATTTGCTAATGCAATGCCATCAATCAAAGCTCAATGTCTCTGTTTGAAATTTTGCATGTTAATTTGATCATCCATATGGATGTATACACAATATAATGCTATTGCTTGTGTGTCGATCTTTATCGACGGCATATTTATGAGCTGGGCAACCCCTGTCACTGGACAGAGATTTGGCAACATAAATCATTAATGGTCCATCTTAATGATTGCAGCTGCCGCAGGGCTTATCAGTTAAAAAATTCGACTCGATTTCGAATTCCAAAAGTTGCGCTATCGATTATTAATTTGAATTTTTAAGTGCTTTAAAGTGAAAAGTTGAAATAAACGACACGCCCGCCCAGGCCCTAATCGATGGACATTTGGACACAGTTGGGAAACTCGCATTTCAATATGTCTCTTTTTATGTGTGTGTGCGCGCATTTTCGTTATTTTAAGCTGCATTTTGTAATTTGACTTAAGGCGCTTGCTTATTGGCTTTCGGGCTTTTGTCTTGTTTGGTTTTGTCTCATGCATGTTAATCAATATCAATCAGCCGCAAACAAAAGTGATGATGCATTTGATTATAGATATATGTATGCCCATATACATACACACACACACACATATGTAGACACATGTTAATTTATGTGTAGGTATGCGCCCTTTTATGACTGCTGGGCAAATAATATGCTTGCCAAGTCGGCACACACATTATTTTTTCCGCTTTTGTTTCTTTAAATAATTTATGCATGTAATTTTTTTTTTTTTTTTGTCTTTTTGTTGTTGTTTGTTTGTTTGGAAGTTTCTTTGTTGCAAGTTGCGCAAAAGCTTCCCAAATTTTAACTGCATTTGGCATGATTTTCAGTTTTTGTTGTCTGTTGAAATTTTTGCTTTGTATGCTTGGAGTGACTAAGAATTTATAGTTTGCGGCTAACAAAAGGCTGTGTCAACGAACTTTGACTGTAGATTGAAGAAATCCAATTACAATAGATATTAGTCTTAGATGGGCCAACGAACTGCTATACAAATGACTTAAGCAACAAACTTGATTTTACAATCAATCAAGTGAGAACTAATGATTAATGAAGGAAAGCAATTATAAATAGATATTGTCTAAATTGATGAATTTTTTGGTTTGAATAAATTTTAAAGGCTCTGTTTTTTAATTTCCTTTAAATGATTTTTTAAATTTATGCACAAAAATCTATATTTTATTCATCATTTATTAATCAAATATTTTGTGCACATTTTTAAGTGTTTCATTTTGAATAATATTCAAAGTGTTTCATTTGTTACGACTTTTAATCCATATAAGTTGTCATATCCTTGCTTAAAGGAGCAGCACTTATCACTTTCGATATGGTTTAAAGCAACTCGATATCTCAGCTCATTTAGCACGTTAAATGTTTGTGGCACTGTCGCATTAAGTCCTTCAACACACACACACACAATCCCACACATAAGTACACTGAATATCCTTTAACGCGCCTGCCTGCTTACCTTTGATTGTATTTATTTGTTTTCTTATGCCACAACACTGTTTCACTGTTTCCGTTCTCTGTGGTCCAACTAAGACTCCGCTGCTAGCGCCGGAGACAAAACCAGACGAGACAAGACCAGACGTAAATGTGAATAGCAACGAATATTCAGGCAGCAGTTCAGCCGGCTTTTATACGTTCCAATTGGCAAAATGGGCGGCTGCCACACCCCCGATATTAAAAATACACACCATCAATATGAGAGAGCCAACAGAGAGCCGGAGTACCATGTAGCCCGAACGTTTTCACACAAAGCTTGCCCGCTCTCACACAGAGCTCGTTTGCTCTCTCTCATTCTCTCTCTCTCTCCATATCTGTCCCTCAGCTATGAGCTTGGCTTTGCTCTTGGCTCGTCTTCGATTGGCTTCGCCTTTGTGCGCTCTCTTTCGCCGCAGTCGCCGCACATTGATTCGCATCTTGATTTGGCAGTTATCATAACTCAGTTAGTAGTTAAGATGATGTGCAACTTTATGGCCAGCAAGAGCTAACAAAGATAGCGCAGATAAAATAAGTTAGCAGAGGTTTTATAAATCGAACAATCGAAACACAAACAATAATTTATTTAAATAAATTAGTTCAGTTTTTTCCATTAACGTGCAGCGTTGCACTGTGCAATGCCGATTGAAAAAAATAAAATAAAATAAATAATAATAANTGGATACCACGCCCCCTTCTCCCCCAATTTGTAAAAAACGCATTTCAAGTACTAGAGACTTGTGCTTTGGAATGTACACACATATTTACCATATGATTACACTCTGAAAGTTTCATTAAGATCATATGTTTACAAAAGAAATTATTCGACAAATAAATTCTCATAATATTGCCCACACTGCAGCGCAGCCCAAGCGCAGTCGCTGCTTACTGCGCAGTTAGCAGAGCGCAGGCTTATGCGTGCGTGTGGATGCATCTGTATGTATGTGTGCATAAAAGAAGTGCAGAATGATTAGAATATCAGCTTAGAGGGTTCAGGGTATCTCCTAGTCGAGCAGTCTCGACTAGAGTCTTCTTACTTGTTTCTACATATATATTTTTTTTAACAAGTGTTGCGCCATCCTCATGACGCGCAGTGTATATCTGAATTTTATTATCATTCGCTCTTCGGGTTTTCGCTTTTTTCTGCGAATTTTGTTTATTTACTTTTAATTTAAAGCAAAGTTTTGTTTGTTCTGGCGCTCTGGCTGCTGCTAGGGGGAAAAAACTGTAGTACGATCATTTTAATTTTTAATAGCTATTGCTATTGTTGCTATAGCTGTTGTTGTTGTTGCTGTAGTTGTTGAGTGCCTGGCACTCGAAACCAAATGCCGTGTATCTCAAAATTTATGCAAACACTTGGCGCACCTTTTACGCATCATTTTGACAACGCGATCCACGATGGCTGCTGCTGGCTTTTCTGGCTTGCTTCATATATCAATTTGTCAAGTGTTGTTGTTGCTGTTGCTGCTGCTGCTGCTGCTGCTAGGCCTTGATCTTGAAAAGCCTTTCGAAATTGTCGCCGTGGGCTGCTGGCAGCAGCCGCTGGCTTCCGCGCGGCGGCTCATCGCACGCGTTCAGAAAAAGAGCAGAAGAAGCTCAAGCAGAAATATTTTTTTTTTTTTTTTTTTTTTTTATTTATTTAGCTTCGATTTTTGTTAATTTGGTAATTGCCATGTGAATGAACTGGCTAAGGATAAGAAGCAATCGATTTGGCATTTGATCTCATAAATAAATTCGTCTGGTGCTTGGCGGTGCCAGCCGGATCTGTAGCGCTCTCAGATCAAATTCTCAACAACAAATAAAAGCGAAGCAAACGAAATTTGACATTTATTTGCTTATTTTTTTGTTTTCTCGCTCATAAATATGCAAATTTCTATAAATTTAGACACGCTTGATTATGTAATTTACGGAGCTATTGGCTTTAGCCCGGCCGCCCGGCAAATAACTTGAATTTGTTTTATATTTGTTTATTGCCTTTTTTATGGCCAGAACTCATTTAAGTTGTTCAATTGGGGTATGATGCGGCAAAAGGCGAGGCGCCGTTAAACATATATATTTTAAATATATATTCTATATTCTCGATTCGGTTTAATAGCTGAATGGATTTAGATGTGTTTTGATATCTACTCATGTATCTGTTTGTAATCCATTATCGTCATGTGCCTGTCCGGCTGACTGACTGTCTGCCTTTTGTCTATCTGTCTCACAGTCTTGTCTTCTCTGTCCGTCTGTCTGTACTATCTGTTTGTCGTTTTGTTAGCCTGCCTTGTCCACCCCTCTGCCTATTCTTCTATTTGTCTGTCCGTTGGGCTATTTGTCTTATGTCTTCACTGTATGGCCGTCTCTCCATCTGTCCGCCTGTCTTGTCCGTCTGTCTGTTACGGCATATATAGTCATCCATCAAAAGCTAAAGGAATTACGCAATTCTTCTTCTCAAGCACACACCGTTCACTTTTCAGTTAATCGATAACTTTTTCCTGATATCGATCAAAATCGATCTCAATCTTTAGTTGTTTGCGCATATCTATCAAATTTAAAATGATAGAAGTCATCCATTTTGGTTTGTAGACTATTCGAGAGGGCAATATGAAGTGCTCCCATTTACCCATTGACCGCAAAAGTGAAATGAAACGAAATTTCAAATAGAGAAAGTTATTCTAAGCAGCACATAATGAGGTCATTTCGATGAGAACAGATCAGAAGCCATTATATAGCAATTGAACTAGTTTCTAGCGCACTTTGGAAGATGAAATAGCTGTGGTCACACGGCATACCACCAAATCTTGGATGCATTGATACACATTCTATCATTTGCAAAGCAATTTGATATCATCCATGTTAAGTCTGATGTCCTTAGCTGCCTCAAGCCCTTCTTCCTGCTTCTCTGCTCTACAGCTTATCCAAGTCGCCCATTTCTATGCCTGCCGATTCGATCTACTTTACCCAAAGCTCGATGGCCCAGAGTCTTGTCTGAGGTTGCTTCATCTACTTTCAGCTTCCCACTCAGACGGAGTAGATTAAGAACCTTCCTTGCAGCCCCTATCACTGCCTGAACATCAGTTGGTCTTTAGATAATCACGAGATCATTAAGCAGCTCTTCAGGGTATTTTCTAGTCAGTCATTGCCAAGTAAAGCACACAAACTTGGGGTTTTTTTTTTATTTCTCGGGTTCTTTGGGTTCAAGTTTGTATAGTTTTGTGACTAAAAATCCTTTTTAATGGGCTCGACCAAGGCATTGACATTTTGGCCAGCTGAACTGCTGACACGAGTGCCAACACCGGCGTTGGCCTTATGGCCAGCAACAAAAACAACAACAACAGCAGCAACAACAGCAGCAGCAGCAGCAGCAGCAACTGATGGCTGACTGGCTTCAATTTCTGTTGTCTGCTAATTGACCATGAAAAGATAACTAGTATATACTATATACACACATCTCAATTTGCATGTGTGCGTGTGTGTGTGTGTGGTTTTTGTTTGGGTGGCGCCATTGTTTGCCATTTAGTAGCATTTAATAGAAAAACAAATTTATTGAGCGGATTCGCAGGCCTCTCACGTGGCCCCCGGTTCCACGCAGAGGCCATCAGAGTCTTGAGACAGACCCAGTTTTGATTTTGAATTACCCATTTCCAGCTGCGCTGCGATTGTACATTTTAATTAGTCTTATTGATAGTTAGCCACCCAAGGGGAGTTTTTGCTTCATTTCTTAATTGGGTCAACACAAATTTGCATGAGATTCGTATTAATCGCGGTTTTAGCCAACTTGTGCTAAAAACCTGTGCGAATTCCATTCGCCATTGCACAAATTTGTACTCTTGATGATGCTGTCGATGCTGATACTAATGCTAATGCTGAGGCTGATGCTAATGCTGATGCCGATGCTATTTTAGCCTCAGTTCTCATGCATTCGCGGAAGTCAGCCAAGCATCGCCAAACTAAAGTGCGAAGCTCGCTAATAGATATTGATTTTGCTCATATTTTTGTTTTGTTTCCTATTTTTGTTTAATTATATTTCTGATAAATATACCCTGTATTTCCGCAGAGGTTGTCTGGCTAAAGATTTCTCATTCTCATTCATTCATTTGCTCTTGTTTGCCAATAAAATGACTTGAGCTTTGGTTTAGTTTAGTGCGTAAGCTTTAATTTATAAAGATGATTATTTATGGAACAATAATTTGTTAAAGCTGTTGCTATTCATCCATGAACTTTGGGAACCCAATTCCCACAATTTCAGTTTTTATAAGTTTTTATATAGAATTTTTTTTTTAATATTTATTATTTGCAGTTATAATTGACAAATTTTAACATTTAATCGCAATCATAAGCTAATCCGGACTTTCCACTCCGAGTTCCGATTTATGGTTTGCATTTGAACTACTCGTTCGTGAACCTAAATAAGCTCACATTTTGATTCACAGCTTTGACGTTTGAACCTAGTTTTTATATACCTAATGTATAGCTCACATTTTGAGCTTCATATTCATGAACCCAGTTGGTGGTTCATAGCAAACTTGGTTTATAGCAAACATTTATGTTTATAGCTAGATTTTTAAATGAGACTTTAACTATGCAATTCTATTAGGTTTTTTATAGATTGCATTATAAACGCAGTCAAAACCATTTTTAGACAATCTAGAAATTTTTTAGTTTTACGATTTATTTATTGGGTGATTCAAGTTTTATAAACTTTAAAGCTATTCGACTAATGGAAATAATTTTTTTTTATAACATAAGTTTTGTATATATGTAGATAAAACGCGCTCAATATAATACATCTAGCCAAAGATTTCAATAAATGTATATGTAGAACAAATGTATATACATACATATGTATGTATATATATTATATATCTACACTGTGAAAAACAAAAACAAAAAACTCTAAAAAACTATTCATTCAAGTGACTAAAAAAAAGAAAATACATATATTTTTCAAATATTCTATACTATAATTTTAATTTTAATA